TGTAACTCATCGAAATAATCATTTCCGACCCTATAAAGTATATATATATTCTTGATCAGCGTAAAATTCTAAGACGATCTGTCCGTCTGTTTAATCACTCTAGCGTCTAAATGAGTTGAGATAGATCACCAAAATTTTGCACAGAGTCGTCCTTCCTCATATAATGATATGCCCAAATATTCACTATTTCCTACACTATGTAATCAATATTGTTCCCCCTCAATACCAGAGATGGCCTATCAGAAACAGTGACGTAAATGACATACATTTCCGACGTATAATACATACGTCAGAAACGTCGGAAACCTACCCAAATCCATTAGGTTTCTGACAAAATAGCTATTTCCATTAATCAATTTGGAAATTACGCATGCTTTATTCAAATTAATATAAAATTTCAAAATTTTCTTCTCAAAAAATTTAAATTTTTTTATCAGTTCTTGTATGGAATAGTCAGATATATGTAAAAATAATATATATTCTTGAAAATAACTGTGTATGCTGATAATATTGAAATAAATGACTTTTACTACATTTATTACATTTTATACAGGTATATGACGTTTTCGACGTTTACACCTTTTTGACAGTCGAAAACCTAAAAATTCGTCACACGGACCATCCCTGCTCAATACCCTCATATAACTTTGTAATCTAAATTACAGTAGTTTGAGGATTTTATGCTCTAACATGCGTTATCAGTATCAGTCCACTTTTTGGATCTTACAGATTTTAGGAAAAATCCCCATTAAAAATTGGTGTACATAATGGTTTACATAAATCGGTTTGTAGAATTATCGGTATATGCCCACTTTTTGGTATGTTCCCTATATTTTCATTACATGTATCTGTCAGTATAACTATGTTCGGCCCGGCCGAACTTAACGCTTTTTCACTTGTTAATATCTATAAATTCAATATCAGGCGAATGGAATGTCCGATCGGAATCAAACATTGTACAACATTTTGTCTTCACCAAGCCTAAAACAAGTCCGAAGGTGGGATCCATTGGTCCACTCCCTTTGGTCAACATTTTCAATATTTATAAATACAATATTAGGCGAATGAAATGTCCGATTTGAACCAAACTTTACACAACCTATTATGTCTACCAAGCCTACAACAAGTTCGAATGTGGGACTCGTCGACCCCCTCCTTTCGGTACCTCCCTCACAAAGGGTTTAATGTTATATTTGATCAACATTAATTCCAAAAACTCTTTGATAAAAACAAACCATAGGCTGAGGGTTATACCCTTTTGTTTTAAGGGTATTAAAGCTTTGTGTGGCCCCAAGAGTTTGTAATGCAGCCAATTATCATATTTCATCCATCTGTTCATTATAATCGTCAAGAAATGTTGCATGTAGAACAGGTTCTGGCCAAAGAAGTCCCTATGGTTTTTGGATGAAATGGACCAAAAATTGTATTTTTGTCTGGAGGCCAGAATTAGGACCCGAACCTCACGAAATTGTACGCAGAAAAAGGGGTATGACCATGGAATAAGTACAACCTTTTTATTAAGATCAATCAATGTTTACAGGGTCAAATGGACCCAAACTTTTGTGTGAAAAATTTCATTTGCATACTATGGCCAATATGTTTGAGCCTGAATGACATGGTCCTGGGAAGTTCATAGCATATCTTTACTTAGCTGGCTTGTTACAGAACATTTGTTCCATACGCCGAGCTTAAAAAAATATATCCGCCGGACTTGAGCGCAGCTTTTCAAATTTTTAGACAATGCTTCGAGATGTTGTCCTTCACTTGATCTTTCCGTCGAATTTGTGTCCTTCCCCTTTTAGGTGATCCATCAGTTGGCCCGCTTTTATATGCCATTTGAGCTAGGGCATCCTCATCCATTTTCACAACATGACCTAGCCAACGTAGTCGCTGCAGCTCGATACGTCTGACTATGCCGATATCATGGTTCATTTGACGGCGATATTCACCGTCAACGAAAATCGGCTTACAGAAGTTTCGGGGGATTTTTTTCTCTTAAATACTCCTTATAACAGCACGGGTAGCATCAGCGCCTTGTAGAGTGTGAGTTTGGACTGGCGGGAGGTGGCCTTGTTCCTGAAGTGCTTATTTAGCCCATAGTAGCATCTGTTAGCCACCCTTTTTTTCTTTTCTCCACCGAATTTCAAAACTGTTGCCATTTATTTATGGCGATACCTAGGTATATAAAATTTTTGACTACCTCTAAGATGTAGTTCTCAAGTTTCGCAGTTGGTCCGAGTCTACTTCACGTCTTGCGCCTTCATATCATCAACTTGGTCTTCCTGTCATTTACTGTCAGACCCACTTTTTTACTCACATAGTTCCGTGTTGATTCGGATGAAAAATATATATAAAGGAACGAGATCAGAAAAGGGAACGAGATAAAATATGAACGATATCAGTTGAAGGAACTTTATTAATTAAGGATCAGGAACTAGTTCCGATCGTTTCTTTCTCTGAATAGTTCTAATGAACTAGTTCGTTCCCGAACTACCCAACTCTAACTTTCGCTCACACATTCTCAATTTGTTCATCGCTCAATTTATTGTTACCGCTCGCAATGTTCGACCCATTATATCGATGTAATCGCTGTGATAAAATATGGTCTATGATGGATTTATCAGGTCTGATGCCGCATTGGTATGGTGCAATAATGTCGTTGACTGTTGACTTCAGTCGTTCACACAACACGCAGCATATCACTTTATATGCGATGGGAAGGAGACTTATTCCTCTATAGTAGTCACCTATGCACGGGACACAGTTTGCTGAGGTTCCAATCATTGGGCATGCATTTCTCCTGAAAAATACCTGACCACCAATCTTAAATAGTTCGGCTTGTAATCAGTCGGCACCTGCTGATTTATTGTTCTTCAGCCGATTAATTGCTATTCTGACCTCATCTTAGCTAGGTGGTATACAATCTATACCGTAATTTCTTATTGGTTCTGGGGTATATTCTTCACCACCACTATTTGATACGAGAAGCTTTTCAGAATGCTCCTTCCAGATCCTCAGCACGCTATCTGTATCTGTCACCAGGTTTCCTTCTTCATCTCTACAAGAGGATGTGCCTGCACCAAAACCTTCGGTTTGGTGTTTTAGTTGGTGTTAAAATTTTAGGACTTCATTCTGACATCTTGATTTGCTCACGCTCATGTTTTTCTTGTTATTTTATATATTCTGAAAATACGTTTCTCCTCTCTCCTTTACGCTGCGTTTTTCGCCTCAGTGACATTACGACACTCCTGATCGTACTATAGGTTTCTTGATGGTGGTTTTTGGTACCCATGTGTTGCTTTTTTGCAGTTTGTAGGGAGTGGGCAATTCTTTGACATTGTGCTTCTATATTACTATCGGGACAAGGATTGCCTTCGTCAAGCAAGTGGGTAGGTTCAGCGAACTAGATTTCTTCTATATGTTGTGTTTGCAGCTTTTCAACGTCGAGTTTGCGTGTTACATTAGATCGCACCTTTGCTGCTATATTAAGACGGGTGCGAACCTTGGCTGCCACAAGGTAATGGTCCGAATCGATATTCGCTCCTCGGATCGATCGAACGTCTAAAACACTGAATGAATGCCTTCCGCCCATCACAACATGTTTTATCGGGAGAAATATGGTGGCCTTGTGTATATCGAGATGCCTGAATCTGGTGCTGCTAACTATCATATTTTTTGCTGCCGCGAATTTAATTTACCTCACGCCGTTGTCGGATGTTTCTTCAGGGAGGCTGAATTTTCCGACGGTGGGAGCAAAATATATATTTTCTCTTCCTATTTTTGCATTAAAATTTGGAATTTGAATGTCATGGCCAGGGCATGTCATGGTCTGTTCATCTTTGTCTTCCATCGGAGCATGATCGCAAACAAGACTGATGTAGAAGAACTTCGCTTTTATACGGATTATAGCAATTCGCTCATCTACTGGAATGAATCTGAAGACGAGGTCTTTTATTCTCCTTATAACCATAAATCCGCAGTCAAATTCATGTCTCGTTTCAATGCAGCTGTAATACAGTGCATAATCGTCTGATTTACTTACGCCAGTCTCTTTCCATCGCATCTCCAGTAGGGTAATAATATCGGTATTTGTACTTCTTGAGTACATCCGCCAAAGCGAACAAGTGCAGATCGTGGTCCTTTATATGTTTGCGGGGTTCGTCAACATTGGAAGTGGTTTGTTTTTCTTTTTCGTTGCTTTTTCATAGTAGGAAGGTTTTACCGAGTGTGGGAAACTAACCCGACGCCTCAACCCATTTTTTATAGCGACACATATCAGCTCACTATTTCAGCGGATGATGAAAATAGATACCCCAGGTGACACCGGTGTGCCATTTTGAAGCCAATCAGAGCCGTTGCTTGGTACCTATCATCCCCTACGTCACCCACATCGATGTTGGTCGTTGAAAAAATATTTTACAAAAGTCCAAGCCTATGTTGGTCGTTGAAAAAGAGATTTAAAAAAAATTCACACCTATGTTGGTATAGCCGGTAATATTCTTAAAACATTTGTCCCTTGCTGGCCACTATAGAAGACCGAAAGAAACAAATTTTAAATGGGAAACTATTTTGATCATGATCAGTCAATATTTTGTGGTTCGAATAGATATGACTTTTCAGAAAACACTGTGAAACAAATTAAGTGACATTTCAAAGAAATATTCACACAAATATTTTGTTACACTAATAGGTAACTGTCAGCTGTTAAATGCCAGTAAAATTAAATACAAGTCAAAACAAATAAAATAGAAACTAAAGGAATAAGTCGTGACTGATTTATTACAGAAAAGTTATCGAACTTATAAATCCAAGTAAAATAAATAGTATTGCCATTCTCTTCAACTAAAATAATATGTAAATTAATTTGATAACTGCACTGAGGGTCCTTTACAGTTTTTGATTAACTGATATCTTGTGGTGTCAAGTCATGTTTTTTACCTTTCCAAAATATTTCAAAATCACAAACAACTAAATGTTATTTTTTTAATATTTATTTTCAGGGTCGCACATTTGCCTCAATGATAAAGAACTTTTTATTGCTCTCCGGTCCTTTAAATGATGTCTATTTGCCATTGTATGCCACCGAGAAGGGAAGTAAGTAACTGAAAAATAATCGTTAGACACTAATGTATAACCATTAAAATTTCTCTGGTAATAATTAGAAATATTAAGTAATTGGAAAATTTTCACTTTTTCGTTTGCAATAACCATGTTTTTTGATGTCATAATTTAACGGATATTAATTTTTTATTATTGTTATTGTTCTCCCATCACGTTTTCTCTAGAAAATGCCTACAATGAAACACTGGAGACGGTGAAAAATTCATTCCCTCAATATATTCGTGAATTGGAGGGTGTAGCCGATGGTGCTCAAGTTGAATTTCATAAGGTAAGTAGTACTAGAAGTTAATTTATTACAAGGGTTTTTTTCACTCAATTCAAAACAAAATAAATATTGTAAATAATACCGAGACGACTTGTGTGTCATATTTATATTTCTTATCTGCTATAATATATAAAATAATAGATTATTTAGCACATGCTGATTGTAAAGTGTCGTACTTATTATAGTTGAATTATATAACTCGTGAGAGGGTGTCGTTGCAGTTTTCAGACAGATGTTAAGTGTTTTATAAAGAAATATCAAGTACTATTTTGTTACAATATAACAAAATCAGTAAGAATGGTATAACAACGTAAATTTATATATGAAGGTTAAATTTTTGATATTTTTTAAAAATCCTCGCCTAGTGGTTGAAAAAAATAGTTTTAAAAAATCTATGTTGGTTTTTGGAAAATATAGTATAGTCGGACGGTGCCGACCATATGATACCCTACACAACGAAAATCTAACTTTCTGTGGCTCTATTTTCTGAGCATGGACACGATATTTGTACCATCTTGACCGACTAGAGGCCAACAAATATTACTAAGTTTTAGTACAGCCCTTCCAATTACTTGTCCAGATTCCCTTCAACGTGGGTTGTGATGTTCGGCTTTCAATTGTGGCCAATAGTGTTACTAAATCTATATTTATGTGTGTACGAATGTAATATATGGTACTATATTTGGTACAAATTTAATTTATAGGTACTAATCTAGCTGGAATCCTGGAAATTTATATTAACATTACCGTCGGAGTGTATGATTGGTATATGTACGTAGTTTTGGAAATTTGTTACTTATGTGTACGAAAAGTACTAAATCGTACTATAATTGGTACAATTTGGATTTGGGTGAACCGATAGAGCGAGAACAATAAAATTTGGAATCAGCATCACTGTAGAGGTGTAGGATTGGAAATTAATACTTATGAGTACTAAATGGTACTAAATTTGGTACAATTTGAGTTTTAAGTGAACCAATAGATCTAGCATCATGAAATTTGAAGTCAGGATCACTGTTGAGGTGTAAGATTGATTTATGTAGGATGTTTTGGAAATTGGTACTACTATGTACTAAATTTAGCACAATTTCAATTGTGGGTGAACCGATAGAGTGGGAATCCTGAAACTTGGATTTGGGATCACTGTGTGGATGTAGGATTGGGGTATGTAGAAAAGAAATAATGTATGCTAAATGGAACTAATTTTGGATTTGGGTGAACCTTTATAGCACGAATCAGGAAATTTGGTACTAAATGGTACTCAAATTTAATTTATGGTCGATATTAATTTGTGGATTGTTTTTTTCTGACATACGCAGTATTTCCAAATTCACTAACGAAGTTGAGGGCATATGCTAGTCTTAATATATAAAAAAGCTTAGTGTTAAGTGAGTGAGTGAGTGACTGAAAGATCATCGGCCAGACGAAACGGCTAAAGCTAGAAGCATGAAATTTTGAGTGTGGGTTTTTGTTGATGTGTAGGCGTGAGATAAGTCTGGGTTTCTGGAAACTCGAACTAGAAAGGTACGAAAAGTACTAAAAATTACCAAATATTGTAGCCTTTGTATTACGCGAACGGGAAGAGCTAGAATTCTGAAATTTGTAATGTGGGTCACTGATGGAATGATAGAAAGATGTGCAAAAGGGTTTTTGGAAATTCGATCTATACGTGTACGAAAAGTACTAAAATTTACTAAATTTAGTTTTAATTGTATATATATTGAACATATAAAACTAGAATCTTGAATATTTATATGGAATACAGTGTTTTGGTGGTGTTGATGTATGAAAAGGGTTTAAGAAATTCGTACTTATGTGTATAAAAATTACAAAATGGTACTAAATTTGGTACTATTTGCGTTTAGTTGAGTGTATAGAGATGGAATCCTGAAAAAAGGAGTTAGGACTACTATTGGTGTACAGGATTGAGGTAGCTTTAAAAAATCGTACGTATGTGTACGAAAAGTACTAAATGGTACTAAATTTGGTGCAAGTTGAATTTATGTGAATAGATAGAGCTGGAGTCTTCAAATTGGGAATTAAATTGACTGTTGGAGTGTAGAATTGAGGTAGTTTAGGTATTTGAAAATAAAATTACTGTTATAGCACATGATTGAGTGTTGGAAATATAATTCTGAATGTTGCAACTTATGTTACCGTGGTAGTGTAGGAAAAGTGCAGAATGGTACCAAATCTGGTACAATTTGGGGAACAGGCAGAGCTGGAATGCTTAAATTTGGACTTACGATTAATATTTGAAAGTAGGTTTGGAATATTGAGATACAAAAATTACAGAATGGTATCAAATCAGATATAATTTTGGTACGAAAAGTACTAAATTTGGTACAAATTGGACTTTGGGGAAATAAGATTACTGTTAGAGTGTATGATTGATGTAGTTTTAGAAATTCTCATAGAAAGATACTAAATTTGAAACAAATTGGATTTGGTTGAATCCTGAGATTTGGAATTTAGATTATTGTTGAAGTGTAGTATTGAGCTATGGAAACAACTTTGGAAACTCGAATTTATGTGTACAAAATAGTAAATAGAATAGAAAATTCACTAAATTTGGAACAATTTGGATTTGGGTAACGGAGAGCTGGAAACCTAAAATTTCAAATATGGGTCACTGATGGAGAGTTAGAGAGAAATGCCAAAGGGTTTTTGGAACTAAATTTAGTGGTGGTAGTGTTATGGAGGTAGTGTTGAAAATGTGTAGTTATGTGTTCGAAAAGTGCTAAATGTAAGTAATGTGGAACCTGTACGAATTTGCTGAAATATGTAATTGGAATTCTGACCTATTTCTTTGTAATGGAAATAAGAAAGAGATGTCGGAAATAAGTGTTTATGTGTATGAAGAGTACTAAATGTTAATAAACTTGATATTAGATGTAGGAATAGAGGTGGAATTCAGAACTATAGTATAACAAATTATACAGTATTTACGATTTCCATATGAAATAATATTTTTTGTTATTCCCTTTCCGCATACGAAGTAGCGGGCACTTTGCTAGTAATATATAAATACGTAAGCATATGCAAATATTTAAGAGCACCTACGAAAATATAATTGGTATCAATTTAAAGGTCAACCAACTCCTCTTGGATATACTATCAACTTCTCGGGTCTATGTCCTTCGGGAGTTACTATATATACGCCATAGAATACACATTTTGTAATTTTTTACACAAAAGTCAGAGTCCATTTGACCCGCTAAATATTGACCGATCTTTATCAAAACAGGCATGCTCATTCTTTGGCCAGATCGCCTGCTCCATGTAAAAATTCACGATGTTCGGACCATAATTGCGGCCTCTGTAGCAACCAGAAAAACAGACAAAAAATTAGTATTTGGTCCATTTCATCCCCTATATATTAATCCATATTTACCAAAAACAATAGGGGTCTTCATTGGTCAGAACCCATCCTACATGCAAAATTTCGTGAAGATTTGTCCATAACTGTGGCCTGTATCGTGTTTACAAATTATATTGGACAGACGGACGGACGGAAACACATGTCTATATCGACTCAGCTAGTCGAGATATGACGATCGCTATACTTAATGGTGGGTCTAGGACCAATATTTGGCGGCGATACAAACTCTTTGGGCTGCACAAAGCAAAATATAATACCCTAACACCATAGTTATGTAGGGTTTTTTTTTCAATTAATTAATTTAATTTGGAAAGGGGCGTATAAGTGTTGTCAACACTTATACGCTTCCATTTTCTTTTCTTACATTCTAATATTAAATATTGGTATTAGTGACAAAATATTTTTATTTCATTGATTATGACAAAATGTGTGTATAAATATGAAATATTTTTTAAGACATTCTAAATATTCAATTGTGAAGGTTATCCAGATAATTAACTTCATAGAGAAATGAAACTCGTAAGTGATGTAATTAGCAAATGCGATTTATTTCCCCCCTCCCCATTTACGCAAATGATATATATGCATATTTGATTTAATGTGAGTTTTGCATATAGGTTTTAACATAATTAATTTAAACAACACAACTGAATGTCATTAACATTTCCGTTTTTTTTTCGCAATACTCGTATAATTTATGCAGGTGGTCATATTAATTACAGAAAATATTTTGCTATGAATATAATCATAACTTGTAATAATAAATGTCAGTCAAAATGTTGCTGAGATATGAGCTGTTAATGAAATATTTACAGAATAGTACCAACAAGTATTTCTAGCAAATATTTTATGAGACTGGATAGATATAAGTCGGCGAAGGGATATCCTGACATGGTAATTTTATTATTGTCACAATTTCAACTGTTTTGGCTCGAAGGGCTCAAAATTTTCTCAAACTTGATTTCTTAGCCCTTGGGGAAAATACCGATCCCAAGACCACTAAATTCTTAAGGTAAAGACCGCCTAAATAATTTATTTTAAATGATTTTTTTTTTTTCAATATTTAATCTTTTATACAACAAGCAAAACCTCCCCCTACGACACTACACTCAATTGAATATAACTTTTTTATTCAATTTTTTTAAATTATCTCATTTATTTTATTAAATTTATTATTTACTTTTATTAGTTGTTATGGAAATAATAATTGAATTAACACACATTCCATAAATTTTCATATAACATTGCCACGGTTCACAATGTGCCAGAATGACTGACATAATTATTATAATTCACTTCATATATTCTAAACAAATTACAATTAATGGAATTGTGTTTGAAAAAATATTTTTCATCATAAATACTTGATTTTATTATTAATGCGTCAAAATAGTTGTTTTTTTTTTTAATTAACGTGTTACTCACACCGCTTCTATGGCAGTAATAAATTGGTACAAGAATAAAATATTTTTTTTCAGAATTGCTTTAGAAAGCATTATGAAGTGTGTTGGATGTTTTAATTTAATTGAACGCATAAATTAGAAATTTAAATAATAAACAAGAATATACTTACTCGTAAAAATTGTATATCCGCATCCGTTAAATAAAAAATAAAATATAG